ACTCCCAGCAGGTAGATCAGGTAGTTCACAACTCCCTGTAGTTACAGATCCAAGGAATCTAATAGTGCTTTGGGGTTTCCATAGATACCTACATATATGTGCCAAACACTAACACAGAAACACACCCATATCCATAAACAAAAATAAGTATTTTTTAAGAGACTCACAGGAGTGGTAAACTACTTTGTATGTCCTTCCAAGAAACTTTTTCAGAATTCAAGACTTAATTCTAAAGTAAAAAAATACCCAGATTAGTATATAAAGCCAAAGTCCTTTTGAGAATTATTTTGCCTATTTTATATTGTACAAACATATAAATTCTCCTCCACTAAGGTAGTTAAGTGAAAGTGACTTTATTATATTCTTAAATTGAAATGCTACAGCAATAGAAAGCAAAGACAAAATTAAACTCAACATTACTAAGGCTGTCCAGGACACGTTCCTTGCCCTAACAATTATTAACAACTTTTAAATACTATTAACACAATGATAAATAGGACATAAAATGGCAAGCCTGAAAACTACCAAGAAATGTTTTATTTACATTTTTGCAAGCTTTGCTTTCTGATTTTCCATGTGTCTTCCAATACTTTATAGCTAACAGCTCTTGTATAAAAATTAGTTAGGCCATTAAAAGTTTTTCTTTAATAGAGGTAAGAATTCATTACTGCATTTTTCTATGTGAAGTATGCTACTAAATAATAGCTTGTACACTAATTAAAGCAAAAGTAATTGTGAGAACACATTGACATTGTTAAAGTAAATTAGTCAATTTGCTAATAGTTTCATTTAAAGTGACCCTAATTGTATTAATTGTGATACTAGCAAATTAAATTGAAGAGCATTAAACACATTCTTCTAATATTTCCTAGAGGAATGTATTTTCCCTTACATCAGCAGGAGGAAAATAATGATTACATGCAGATGTACAAGCTCACGTGTGCAAGTGTACACATCCTCGTACGCACACCTCGGAACAACATGAAAGGTCTAGCTAGATTGCATATACTCATTATGTTTTAATAATATGATTACGTGCTACATAATGAATCATACAAAAAAATCTTCAGATACATGTGAAATATCATAGTATCATTTATTCCCTGACTAACAAAACCTATTTCACCATTAAACTGCTCAAACTAAGTTATTAAAATTTTAAGGAAATAAACATATTCCTTTGGAAGACAGCAATATGAAAACACATTTTAAAGATATCCTAAAATCATAACAGAGCCATCATTTAATGCCATAAAATCAGAAGACTAAATGACCCCCACGAAGAACTTATAGGGTCCACCGACATAACAGTATATTAGATAACCATTTAATAATTCTCAGTTTATACAAAATGAATCTACCTTTCTTGGCCAGGTTTACAAGTACCCTAACCTAGCCTATTCTATGCCATTTTGCTAATAGTTAGCCTTGGTGCCAAGTAAATAGAAAGCTCCCTTCCTATCAAGTTTACTCCTTTCCTGGGGACTTACTTAGTACAAACTCTTTGTTTAGAGATCTGGCACTCCTCCCACAGATACCATCTTTACATGCCTGGAATCCTGTCATTCACATACAGCAAAATCCCCAATTTCTTAGAAGACTCCTGACAATTTTAAGTACTCATTGCAATACTATCCTATTTTAATTGTTAGCACTGATTTTATCCCCTTTATTTCTGTACTTAATTTGTCAATGTTTATTATCTCTCGAAAAGTAAAATGTGACTTCTGATGGGCAACCAAGAGATCTACAGAGCTAGTTCTAGGTCAGCCAGGGTTACACAAAGAAACCCTGTCTCAAAAACCAACCTAACCAAACCAAACAAAACAAAACACCAAACCAACCAACCAATCAATCAAAGAAGCATGTCAATAGCCTGTAATGTTTGGGGTCTCTGGGGCACCTAAATTGAGAGGAGGTATCCCACACCTGACACTGCGTTTTGTATTTACCAACCTCTGGCTTCAGGGAGGAACATTATGAAATTCTTTAAAATGATACGCAAAGCTCTTAAAGTAGCAGGTCTCCATGTGACTTTTTCTCTTTCCTCTACTTACCGAACCCTCCCGCACTTTTATCTTCCATTTTCCTTTCATACACTCACATTCTACTATACCCTCCTTTTAGATCACTCCCCACCAATGGCTTGAGTTTTCTGAATTCCACAGGTTAGAATTTTCTGTTTCTTGCACGTTAGAAACACAAACATAAAGATTTGATGCTAATGTCAACATATGGGTGAGAACATGAGACCACTGTCTCTCTGGGTCTGGCTTACATCATTCGGTAAGACACACAAGACCAACCCTGTCAACATGGGAGGCAGCTAGCTGCTGAGAGCAAGTGAATCCCTTTTCTTTAAGGGCGTGGACCTTGGTGTGTCCACAAAGATGCAGCAGATGGCATCACATCCACAAGTTTATGAGCAGCACAAATTGGGCCTAAAAAATTATTACAGAAAAAAAAAAAAGAGGACACAAAGTTGGGGGGTTGGAGAGGTGTAATACTGGAGTTAGTGAGAGAAAAGAAGAGCTGAGTATGATCAAAACACATTGAATGAAATCCTCAAATAATAAAATTATATTTTTAAATGTAAATTTTATAAAAGGAACAATTTACTATTCAATATGCTTTCCCTAGATACTAAACTTTCAATAAATATTTTATATAAATAAGCTAATACTAGGTACATGGTCTACGTGCTTTCTGTTTATTAGTAAACATGACTTTAACCCCAACACTCAGCAAGAAGAAGCAGACATCTCACTGTGGGTTCAAGACCACTCACCTTGCCTACATAGTGAGTTCCTGTTCAGACAGGGCTATATAATGAGATAACAAGGCTCAGTTAAAAATAACCATTTTCAGGTGAGTTATCATTTAAAGTCAGATGGTAAGGACAAATAATTTTGAAAACCAAAAAGAAAATATATGTATTTTTTTTCTGTGGAATTATGGGTATGTGAGCAATCATTACTCTTTGAGCAAAGACTCTTGAATTTAAGCCGGTAATTTAAACATATGAGAAAACATGCCAAGGCACAAATATCCCATAATATATTTCTATAGTATTTAAAATTTAGAAAAATGAGATCAAAAGTGTAATTAATATGGAGATATGCTCTAAGGTGTCACACATATGTTGGGGCAGTTCTTTCTCTTCTGCAGTGAAAATAAAATATGTAGCTTTCTTTTTCTAATCCCATTTTTTTGCCAAATTTTAAAAGAATGCTCAAAATCATTTAACAGTACTGTTTCTTTACAAATGTTGGACTCAGATTTGATAAAAATAGAAGAATGCTTTACTAGTGGAATTGCTAACATGGTTGTTTTTAATTGCAGATGAGTCCAGGAAGAAAACTACTAATTCAAATGGGTGCTTTACCCCTACAGTCTACTGCAAAAATGTGCAAAAACCTTCAAAATCCTTCAAAAATCTCAATGCAAGACACAAATTAAACTACAAAGGTGATGATTAATCAAGTAAATATGACAACCTCAAGAAAATATAATACATAATTTTTTGTGTGTGTGCAAAATGGAAACTTAAGATGATCAAATAGGTACTTGATGTACAATGTTTACATATACAACACACAAAACTCACTATGGTTAGTAACCTTTATGGCTTAGAAAAAACAGATATTTACATATCTTTCTTTCCTTATGTGCCTGCATGTCTGTGTGTTTTGTATATATTTTTAACAGTTGACAGCTGTTTTAGAGCATACAGAGATGCCAAGCTGAATGAGGGTCTTGATTACTTCAAGATTAGCTATCTAAAGTTTCTATTCATTTTAAGTGTTGTTAGTTGGAAGAGTCATTAGTCACTTCCTTGTCTCATAGAACATCAGCATACATTTACATTGTTAATGAACATTTGGGGTAAATGAATTAATGGCACTTTAAAACATCAATTCAGTCCTAATAACTTGGTATGTCACAGAAATGTTAGGCTAGGGTATAAATGAAAATCCCTTTCAGTAAAGGTAACTAACTACACATTCTTTTAAACAATAAAAGATAAAATTAGCTTAAAATGTTTTTAACCAGGTTAAAAAAATGTTCAATATTTAATGAAATAGCCCAGAGGAAAATATTCACTTAAAACACAACAGAAAATGATCTTCTCAAATAAGCATATAAACAAGAAATATTCAGAAAAGTACTGGCAAAATTATTATGTATACTTCTAATAAAAATATATATTCCCTTTTAGAGCATTTATGGAATTACAAATACTTACAGGTATAAATTTAAGGGAAACATCAGCATAAAAGCTTTGAGGCTTTCTAACATCATATTGAGACACTTCAACTAAAATAATACAAATTAATTTTCATATTACCAAAATTTAAACAGTTTTTTTAGGTCCTTATGTAACAAAAAGTAAAAATACAAAATAATTTTGAAGGGCAAAAGGTGCTATTTTTAGCAAAAAATATCAATGGCATTTATAGTGTGTATAAAGCATTAAAGAGTCTTACATACGTACACACACACACACCATCAAAACAGACAAACAAACAAGCTTCATAAAGAGTCTTTGTTCTATAGAAGTAACCATTATAGGAGTCAATTTTTTAAAATTACCAAAATGTCATAGCAGATCTTAACAAATTAAAATAGATCTTATCTTAAATTTAGCAGAATTTAATGTGTGTGTGAGGGGGGTGGGGACAAGGGGTAGATTAACTGAAAAGTCAATACCAACAGTTTATGATTCTTCAAAACGTGTTTCACAAAGGACATTTTGTATTTAAAAATGTATATACTAAAGGCACTGTCAAGAATGTAACTTTTGCTAATCTACATTCTACCTTCAATAAAAGGGAACTATTTCTGATGTTCATTAGCATCAAGAAGATTCTATACATACCTAGCAAAATATTCTGATTAACTTCATAGAAAGGATGACACTTATAGTGTGGACAGAACTTACTGAAGTCCCTCTGTTAAGTTCCCAGCATATGCAAATAGCATTTGCACACAAAACTTACCTCCAGACTTATGTGAATAGCTGGACAAGGGGTCAATGCCTACTTCCTGTTCTTCTGACTGCAGAGGATGTCTAGTTTCAGATATGGACTGATACATTGCATAAAGAGGAGACAGTCACCAAAAGTAATTACCTAGATGAAAATCCAAAGAAAAAAAGATTAATTTTTTTCTTATGTAATTGGGAAGGAATACTAGGCAGAATGAAATTATTAAAAGAGCACGGTAGGCATCAACAAGTTTTCTGTAGGCTACAAGGGTCTATTAGTATACTTGTAAAAAAAGAACAAAAAAAAGAGTCAAAAAATTCCATGCCAACAATGCTTCAAAAAAAAAAAAATCTAGACTTCGTTTATAACCTTTATTTTGATGTGGGCTCACATTTATTTTTAGTGAAATTTATATAAACAACTTATCTGAAAGTTTTTGAAATCTCATATTTATAACATTTGTTTTAGAAAGCTATACACAGCTGGGTGGTGGTAACACACACCTTTAATTCCAGCATTTGGGAGGCGGAGGAGGCGGAGGCAGGCAGATCTCTGTGAGTTCAAGACCAGCCTGGACTACAAGAGCTAATTCCAGAAACCTGGTCTCAAAAAAAAAAAAAAAAGCTATACACATTAATTAGGACATTCAAAATATAAAAAATATACCAACGAAAATTACTCATAATATTATTATTAAGTAAAAGCATTGCTAATATTGTGTTGTATTATACTTAAGCATGTCTTTACTATGGACATTTAGAGTGCATATTTTCCATGTCAACAACCAAGTAAATCATACTGATATATAGAACTATTAATAAATTACATAATTATTAAATTACCATGAGTGCTGTCCTTGTGTCTAAATTGCAATTTTTAATGGATGTCTATTACATTATATGTTTATCACAATTTATGTAACCAATTCATCAATTTATATAATACTTTCATCAATTTTTATTCAAAATTATGTAAGTATCACATTTTTTAATTTCAATGGCAGTGGGAGTATAAAATGAGAGAAACTGAGAAAATTGAGTGAGTAAGCAAGTCCAATGAAAATGATATCTAATAAATAAGAAAAAAGTTAATATGACAAGATTTAATGTTTAAATATGGAGCAGGCTTCAGAGACACAACTACACAGATCCTTATTAACCTTTCTGCAATTTAAAATGAGCCTCTACCCTGTCTGTTTTAGCTCTAAAATCCTTACCTTGTAAAATATCCCTGTGGCTTTTCTGATTTTTGTCAGAACAATTCAGCTCCATTGCTCACCCATAATGACAATCCAGTGTCAATAAGCCCTACTCCCTTGCAATTATGCCTAAGCCAAAACTAGTAGAGAGTTAGGAAAACAGAAAACATGTAGTGAAAGTACTGGTTGATTCTGTGACCCTGACAAACTAGAGTCACTTGGAGGAGGGGCATCAATAGAGGAGCAGTCTCAAAGGCCATGAGAGCACACCTGAGGGGAGTTTACTTGATTGACTAGTATGGAAAGACTCACACATTTATGGGAGATTATGCCGACGGTTCTAGGGTAGAAACCGGAAAGCAAGCAGAGCAAGCCATGGGGGAGCAAGTCAGACATCAGTGTTCTTCCATACTCTCTGCTTCAGTTCCTGACTCTAGGAGGTTTGTGTCTGGGCTCCTGCAGTGGCCTCCCTTGAGGAAGGAGTCTAACTGATAAGATGTTATAAACTCTTCCATCCCCAAGCTGCTTTACGTCATATGTTATCCCAGTGACAGAGAGGCAAACTAGACAGGGAACATGAAGCAGGATTTCCTAAAACCAAAAAAACAACCTCATGTATCTAAGATAGTTGTCACAGTTTACTAATGTATAGTCAAATCAATAAACTCATATAGAAGGAATTTTGGAGAATAGAATCCAAAAACAGGATAACAAAATACAGAGGATGTTACAGTATAAAACAGAATCAAATGGTTGAATTCAAGTTTACAAACAAATGAAGACCAAGTCCTCTACTGTAGACTAAAATATGAGCAGCAGGTATTATTAGTTAACATCTAAAACACCGAATATATGGGGAAACATTGTGCCACTCTTCATTCTCCCTACAACCTAGTTACACATCTACATCTTTACTGATATTTCACCTGAGAAATCAAAGTAAATTTACTCAGCAACATAGTAAGTGTTAATTCATTCATTAATTAATTTGTGTATGTATGTGCTTTATCTGCATGCATACATGGGTACTGGATCCCCTGGCACTGGAATTATAGAAGTTTAGGAGCGTATGTGGGTACTGGGAATTGAATACCAGGCCTGAGGAAGAGTGCCAGTGCTCTTAATCTCTGAGCCATCTCTCCAGCATCATATAGTATTAAAGCCAGAATTTGAACGTACTCTGTTTTGTCGAGACAGACACCAGTTACCCAGGAAGGTGTGAGGTTTTCTTACTTGCACATATTGGTAAATAATGCAAAGTTGTAAATAATCACTGCCATGGAGTACATTATTTAAATAGATTTCAAATTTATATTTAGAACACGGGTATTTTAAAGCAAGATTCATATTCTCTTTCTATATTATTAAAAACAATAGAAGTAAAATGTGAACATGTCATCTATTCTGAGCTGTTAAATCTCCTTAATAGTCCATCTAAGCTGGCTCTCATAGTCATATTACTTTACCTTCTTATTTTTATAGAACTGTAAAACTACTCTTACAAGCTTTAAAAATACAAATGAATGAATTTTAGGGATTTTAAACTTTCTGAAAAAATAGATAACAATTAAACTGAGATCAAAGTTTATTTTAGAAAGCAAAGTAGCTCAGATGGCATTGTGTTTGCCTAAAAGGTATGAAGCCCAGAGTTCAAATTCCAACACTAAACAAATTCAACGTGGTAGTTCATGCCTAGATTACAACAGATTCTGTTTCAGAAATGGGGGTCAGAAAGCATCAACCGGGATCCATAACAGTATGTTTCTTTTGTCCCAAATACGCAGGGAAAGGTTGCAGACAAGCACAGATAGTATAGAGAGAGTCCTACATCTGAAAAACATGATAATCATACCTGTTCAAGATGCTAAAAAACGATTAAGAATTTTTTCATTCCTTAGAGAAGGTTAAAATTCCAGAAATGGTTCAATAAAATTGGCCCCAGTTATAATCCTTTAGAACAGTGATTTGCAACCTCTGAGTCTCGACTCCTAGTAGGGGTCACATATCACATATCCTGCATATTTCATATTTACATTACAATTGTGGGGGTCACCACAGCATGAGGAACATGGAGACAAAGCATTAGGAGGGATGAGAATCAGGTCTAGAACTTGACAGATCTATGGTATTAGTGAAAAATCAGAATCTAAAGTTAACTATTCATAAAGAAAGTAATCTACAATCATTCTTTACAAATGAGGAATACAATATATCATAATTTATGTTTATAGATCAAAACTGAGACACTGCAAAGTATTTATAATTAAACAAAGTAAACCTGCAGACTAATAATAAGTTACTTTCAAGTAATCTACTGATAAACAGTATAGATAATGTTCTTCATTTTGTTTTAATTAAAGATTTAAATACTAATCTAATTCAAAAGTAACTAAAAGTTGTTGCCTTCGTTTCTATTGCTTGTTTAAGATATAAAGGATGATTGTAGCTTTTAGAATAAAAACGTTAAGAATGTCTATTATTGCTACTGGGATAACCCTGTAAAAATCGAAATGTTGGTTTTAAATGTGAAATCAATTTACTAAGAATTCCCCAATTGGTGTTTCATTAAAGGTACCTGAAAAAGTTTATTATGAAGCAAAGTTTATTATTAAAGATCATTTAACAAATGTGTCTATATTCATTTAAATCATTGTCCTGGATGAATTATTTATCAATAATATCAGACTATAAAAGAAAAAGCCCTTAAAATTGCTTATTTGTTTGATGGGTTTTAAAAAATTACATATTCAATGTTCCATTATACCTAAAATTTCATTTACAAATTCTGACATGAATATTATATTGCGACAACCTAATCATCTAGCTTCTTTGTGGAAGAAAATATGAATAGCTGAAAAACATGTTTCTTAGAAAATAAAAACTTAAGTCAGTAATTGATAGACTTTAGTTCCCTTAAAAGATGCTAATCAGGCTCTAAATTCTAATAAAAATATCCTTGGTTTTAAATAAGCCAAAGTAATCATGCTTTTATAAATTGTAGAAGCATAGCAACATACATTCTAATATCTCAGAAAAGATACATATTTTCTTTGTTATTATTTCTAGCTTACAATTTTTATTCATGTAAAACTCAAAATTAAAAACCTTGAGGCTGGTATTACTATATGACTTTGAAAGCTATCCTAGTAAAATGAGCTGACAAATTAGGCTGTAATTCTCATTCATAATCTAAAATTAATCTGAAAGGCAGGTGTACTGTTTTTAGAAGTCTGGTTCTTACAATATTAAATCTAGATATGAAAGTATCTCTCTGAAAACTTTTATACACTAATATAAAGCTTACTATACAATGGCTATTTCGAAAGTCATGATGGTTGGGATTTAAAGTATATTAAAAACATTACAGTATTTTTGTATAAAGCAAGCACTATTTTAATTAAAAGTTTCAGTTGATAGCAATGTCTGGGTACAATACTACGTGTAATATATTGAATAGCATGTGATTTTTTAAAATAGCATCATATAAACAAATTCAAATAAACTAATCTATTTTCACTGACTGAAATTTTGCTTGCTCTAGCTTGTATTCAGTTCTTCACTGCTTGTAATACTTAGTTATAATTAATATTCTGAATTATGTTATTCTAAAGACAAACATATTTTATGTGAACTTAAACATTATTCATTCATTTGAATTCCTGACTAATAGCAAACTAAAAATTAATTAAATCAAGCACTGAAAAGACAAAGTGGTATTCCTTCAAGAAAAAAGAAAAACCCACAAGATATTCAACAAACTACCTCAAAATTTTACAACAAACAGGAAGAAGACAGCAAAAATAAGTATGTGTCATAGGTAGCATGTCTTCACTATGATGTGTATTTCACCTAAAATATGACGTATTGGCTCTAATGGAAAGCTTCTCTGACATAACTTTAGAAGTTTTATTTTCATATTAAAAGGTAAAATAACTGAATATTTCAC